TTTCTAATAATCAGCCAAATTGAAGAAAATATGCTATGAACACCCATACACCTACCATCCACATTCTACCACTAACATTTGACTACAGTGAACTATTTGTGAGTCTTTGGACTGAGGATTGATGTCTTTCATGAACTGTGAGAAACTGACATTATCCCTTTACATATTGCTTCTCTATTTTTTTTTCCTATTATCTCCTTCTGTAATGCCAACTGGACAAATGTTTGACCTTCTCATACTATCTTCCATTTATCAACCTTGTTTATGCTTTTATCTCCTTGTCCTGACTTATCAGTAACTTCAAAACTATATTCTAGTTCACTAAATTACTCTTTGGGTTCAGTCTGTTTAACTCACCCATTGAGTTTCTAGTTTCATCCCTATTTTTATGTCTAGAAGTTCTAAATGGTCTTTTCTAATCCACCTGATGGTTTTTGGTTTTTTTTGTTTGTTTTTTGTGGGTTTTTTTTTGGTGGTACGTGGGCCTCTCACTGTTGTGGCCTCTCCCGTTGTGGAGCACAGGCTCCGGACGCGCAGGCTCAGAGGTCATGGCTCACGGGCCCAGCCGCTCCGCGGCATGTGGGATCCTCCCGGACCGGGGCAGGAACCCACGTCCCCTGCATTGGCAGGTGGACTCTCAACCACTGCGCCACTAGGGAACCCCCACCTGGTCGTTTTTAAATAGCATCTTGTGGCTCAGTCCAACTTTCAACTCCTCATCTTATTTTTTAAATATTTAAAACATAGTTTTTTTATATGTGAAATCTAATATTTCTAATAATGACTTACTTCCCTAGGTGATTTTATTTTTTGTAACTCCTATTGATTCTCAGGATTTGCAAGTTCTCAATATCTTTGGCCCGAGAGATTCCTTTTCCTTTCTTGGCAGTTGAGTTTTGGATTTATAAAATACATTTAAAACTATATTCTCTACCATTTTAAGATTATTTTTATATAGTGGTCATGCGGTTTTCACGGTACCTTGCCTACTGAAGTGCTTCATCAAATTAAAAAAAATAGAACAGGGACTTCCCTGGTGGTGCAGTGGTTAAGAATCCACCTGCCAATGCAGGCGACACGGGTTCGAGCCCTGGTCCGGGAAGATCCCACGTGCCATGGAGCAACTAAGCCCGTGCGCCACAACTACTGAGCCTGCGTGTCACAACTACTGAAGCCCGCGAGCCACAACTACTGAAGCCCTTGCGCCTAGAGCCCGTGCTCTGCAACAAGAGAAACCACTGCAATGAGAAGCCCGTGCACCGCAACAAAGAGTAGCCCCCGCTCGCCGCAACTAGAGAAAGCCAGCAAGCAGCAAAAAAAAAAAAAAAAAAAAAAAAAAAAAAAAAAAAAAAAAAAAAAAAAAAGAAAGAAAGAAAAAGAAAAAGAAGAACAAAGCTGGAGGAATCACACTCCCTGATTTCAAACTATATTATAATCAAAGTAGTATGGTAGTGGCAAAAAAACAGATGCATAGATTAATGGAACAGAATAGACCCCATAAATAAATCCATACTTGTACGGTCGATTAATCTACGACAAAGGAGGCAAGAATATACAACAGAGAAAAGACAGCTTCTTCAATAAATGTTGGGAAAACTGGACAGCTACATGCAAAAGAATCAAACAGGACTACTTTTTCACACCACATACAAAAACAAATCCAAAATGGATGAAAGACAAATACCAGACTTGAAACCATAAAACTCCCTGAAGAAAACATAAACAGTATATTCTTTGACATGGGTCTTAACAATATTTTTTGGTTATGTCTCCTCAGGCAAGAGAAAGAAAAACAAAAATAAAAGGGACCACATCAAACTAAAAAGCTTTCGCGCAGCAAAGGGAACTATCAATAAAACAAAAGGGCAGCCTACTGAATGGGAGAAGCTATTTTCAAATGATACATCTGACAAAAGGTTCATATCCAAAATATACAAATAACAAATACAACTCAACATCAAAAAAACAAACAACCTGATTAGAAAATGGGCAGAGGACCTGAATAGACATTTTTCCAAAGAAGACATACAGGTGTCCAACAGATAGATGAAAAGATGCTCAACATCACTAATCAGTGGGTAAATGCAAATCAATACCACAATGAGACATCACCTCACACCTGTCAGAATAGCCATCATCAAAAGAACACAAGTAACAAATTTGGTGAGGATGTGGAGAAAAGGGAGCCCTCGTACACTGTTGGTGGGAATGTAAATTGGTGCAGCTGCTATGGAAAACAATATGGAGGCTCCTCAAAAATTAAAAATATGATTCAGTAATTTCATTTCTGGGTATTTATCACCCCCCAAATACAAAAACACTAATTCGAGAAGATACATGCACTCCCATGTTCAGTGCAGCAGTATTTACAATAGCCAAGACATGGAAGCAACCTCAGTGCCCATCAATAGATGAATGGATAAAGATGTGGTATACGGATGTGTATATATAAGTGTGTGTGTGTGTGTGTGTGTGTGTGTGTGTGTATGTACATGTGTGTGTCTATATATATATATATAGACACACACACAATGGAATGTTACCCAGCAAAAAAAAAAAAAAGACAAAAGAAATCTTGCCATTATGACAACATGGGTACATCTAGAGGCTGTTATGCCAAAGTGAAATAAGTCAGAGAAAGACAAACGCTACATGATCTTACTCATACGTAGAATCTAAACAAAACAAAAACAAAAACAAAAAAGCAGGGGTTTCCTTGGTGGCGCAGTGGTTAAGAATGCACCTGCCAATGCAGGGGACACGGGTTTGAGCCCTGGTCCGGGAAGATCCCACATGCTGCAGAGCAACTAAGCCCATGCACCACAACTACTGAGCCTGTGCTCTAGAGCCCGCGAGCCACAACTACTGAGCCTGCGAGCCACAACTACTGAGCCCGCAAGCCACAACTACTGAAGCCTGCGCACCTAGAGCCCGTGCTCCACAACAAGAGAAGCCACCGCAATGAGAAGCCCACGCACCACAACGAAGAGTAGCCCCCGCTCGCCGCAACTAGAGAAAGCCCGCGCGCAGCAAGAAGACCCAACGCAGCCAAAAAAAAACAGAAACAAAAACAAAAAATGAAAACAGACTCACAGATACAGAGAACAAATGGGTGGTTGCCATAGGGGAGGAGGTGAGGAGTGGGCGGAATAAGTGACGGGGATTTGGAGGCACACGCCTCCATCACATAACCCACGGGAATGTACTCTACAGTGTAAGGAACAGGATCAATAACATAGTAAGTTATAGAGGGACAAATGCTTACTAGACTTATCATGGTGATAATTTCATTCATGTATGCATGTCAATCATTACGTAGTACACCTGAGATGAACAAAATGTTGAACATCAACTGTATTTCATTAAAAAATAAAGTAGCTAAAGAAGGATAGGTGACTTTAATAAAAGAAAACTTGTATTTCAGCCCCTAGCTTAAATTTTTACATTCAGATAAGAACTTGTCCTCAAAGAGAAAAAAATTATGCATATGATTATGTGCAAAATTGAAACTGAATTATATTAGTTCTGTCTACCAAATGGGTTGTTTTGTGGAAGGTGAAATAATGTAAATCAAAGTCATTTGAAAATATCATATTACTGAATTAAAAACACACAACTGAATGAGATGGGATAGGCTTTAAATTCATTTATGTGGTGGTTCCCTCAGAGCTACCTTCCTTCAGCCAGTTTTCTGGGCTCTTAATCTACTGTGTCATATTGCCTAGTAATGTACAGAGACAGTCATTAATCAATGATTATATACAGGCAAGAGACCAGTCCTGAATTATGCTGTTAATGAAACAGTGGTCTTTCTCACAACCTCAAAGATCAGATCAGAAATAACTGCTAGTGTCTGGAATGATTCTGCACTTGCTTCTATGAGGCTATAGATTCACTTCCCTTCTCTGGTCTCTGGAGACAAAGCACAGCTGGGCAGTATCTTTTATAAGAGTGTTTTCTTCTAGAGGTTTCCCAAGGGCCATTACTAAGTGTGAAAAATATTGGGGATACCACAGCAGACTAGATATGAGTCACTTTCCACCTGCATATGGGTACTCACAGAACAATCTGTCAAATAGAAAGGCAAAATGAAGCATTTAATTGCTGCTTCACTGGAGATGACTGTTTTGAGAATTTTAAATGGCTGTTATTGTCACGTATAGGAAGGCAGAGTTCTCTTCTCAAAAGTATATAGTCTCAGTGCCTTGAACACTGTCCTTCTAAGATCTCTTTTTCAAAATTTCATAGTTTAAACAGAGATTCTCTCTAGAGTTCCCTACATTTTAAAGTTCTGGCTAAAGGGCCTGATAATTGCCAGAGGTGCTAAAAGACCCCTTTCTCTTCAGTAACCCATTCTCAACAGAATCCAAAGTAGAGAGAATGGAAGGGACAACAGAGGGCAGGAGGAGAGACTGAACCATAAATCGTTCATCAAAGGATCGAGATGTCGGGTCTCTGTGCACTCTGGGCCACAGAAAGACTCTACCAGGAGTCTCCGGAGACTAGACCCATCCATGACCCGGGACACTGGGCCACCCTCCCAACGGGACTCTAAGTGATTCATCTTTGGTAAAGGTTCGGAGGCAGTCAGGGCAGGGCTACCCGGTGGTGTGGTGGAAGGGGACATCCAATGTGTGAGTTTTCACAGCTTAGACTCTGGACATCGGGAAGCTACAAACCTACTGGAGTCAAACACGATATCCCAGCCATGGTGAAAAGAATTGCTAGCATTTCCATTTTCCCATTACACGTTGCAGCCCTGGGTACACTTAAAACTGTGGCCTCAAAGTGGTACGAGGAGCTGAATATTGCAGGAAAGAAAACCGACTTCATAACAACTTGTTCCCAGTCTGGAAAACACTGTAAGCTGGTATTACAGTCAAGTAATTGTTTTAAGATTGCACAGGACTTTCTGAATGCTATGTTTCCTTTAACAGTGAACTGATAAGAATATAGATTGGGGTGAAGAGTAAGAAGAGTGTGAAAAAGACAGGATTTACCATTTGCACGTCGCTTTGCTCCTCTTCTCTGGAAACAGAATTGGCAAACAACCTTGCAGGATTAATACCATTTCTTTCTGGAGAGAGAACGCTGGTTCGATTGCTAAGAACAGAAATATAGGTGAGGTCAAGGCAATGTCTTACAGCTGCTCTGAAAGCCAGCCAAGAACTCACATGGCCCCTCTGGGCTTTCGGCCCTCGCCCCCGCTTCCCCATGCAACTTCCTTCTGGCCAAAGCAATTCCTGAACCAGGAGAGAGACTACCCTGCAGCTGCCGTCCTGCTATGGGGCAAAGGGTTCCCAATTCTCAAAGGCTATTTTTTTTCCAGGCCCTCCGTGTGACACAGCTCATGACCTTTTTAGAAAGAGACCAAGGCATCATATCATTTAGAGAAAAACAAAACAAATACGCTCCTTTGAGGCTCTCTTGTTTCCATTCAAAGTAACCAGGAAAAGTAAGGAAGTGTGGTCATTCCTTTGATAGGAATCCACTTTCATCCAAGGCTCTGCAGTTCTGTCTGGGAATGTAGTTCACTGCAGAATTCTGCTTTGCAGAGCCATTGTGTCCTGCAGCATATAGGGTGAACTAAGAAACTCCCAGGCCAGGCTCAGGACTCTGAAATTCCTACAAGGACTCTGAAATTGCTACAAGGTGAGATGAAAGAGTGCAGATACGTTTTGGGGTTTGTCTACTGAGCCCATGTGAACTGGGATTGAAAAAGAACCTTTCTCTGTTGGTACTAGGGTTGTAGCATGTAAGTAAGGATCTAAGGGACAGCTATCTCAGGCCGTGAGGATTGTGCAACAGAGAAGCAGACGTGAGAGACAAGTTCCCAGCAGCACTCTCGTTCCCGATTCCATTGTCCTGGGGGATTGACTTATGGTCCTTCCTCTGTGACCTACAAAACACTTCCAGCTCGGGATAATAAATCCCATCCCTCGTTCGGCTTAAGCTAGATCGAGTGGGCTTCGACTACCTTTAACCACCGAGGCCTGAGTAACGCTGGGAGTGCACCGGATGAGGCCCCTATGAGCAATCAGACTCACCAAGGCACAGTGCGGGTCCTGGTGAGAGACGTGTGTTCCCGGATGGTGGAGAGGCTTTTCAGGTCCAGGGGAGGTGACCGTGCTACAAGATAACACATGACAACCAACATGGTAAGTTCTCAGGGGTTCAAGGCCAGAAACTGAAGACTATAAAACTATGACATTCCATCAGATCCACATTTACTTACAAGCAGTGCTGATGGTGAGCGTGCTTTTTGCTGTCCTACTCTTCCCTGCCTCACTGGGGGTAGAGGGGACAACCACCAAGCCAGTGGCCACATGATCAGCTGGGCTTACATCCAGTCACTACACACTTATTGAGAACTCACTGTCAGGCATAGTTCTAGGTGTCCCAAACTGAAACTGTACATTTCTTCCCCATCTCTCTGCCTTAGTTAGAGTCATCTTCGGATCTCAGCTCAACAGGTCCTGCTTAGGAGGAAGGCCTTCTTTGACCTCCAGGCAAGATAACGCCCAGCTCATGGGCTGTCATGAGTTCCTGTGCTTATCCTTCACAGCACTCGCCCACTTCGTGATGGTACATTCAGCTGTGATGATCTGATTCGGCTCTAGACCGACCGCGTTCTGGGAGCACAGGGTTTTCTGGCTTGTTCACTGCAGTAGCCTTGGCATCCCATTCCACCTCAGCTGCCCGCCTTGCTGAGTTGGTCGTGAGCGTATTCCTCTATTGCTGCCTTGACCAGCTTGGTTTTCTAGCTCTTTCCTCCACTAGGCCACACAGGTGGAGAGTGTTTAACTCCGCTCCATATTGCCAGTGACTTTCGTGCTGCTCAGTCAGTTGCCCAGGAGCCTCAGACCTGCCAGGTGCTGAGCTGGAAAGGACATATGCATCGTGTAGTCCCCGGGGAGAAGGTCTCTCCTGGCTGTGCTGCACTCTGGTCTCGGCTTCACTGACCAGCCGCCTCCTGGTTTCACCCCCTGCCTCTCCTGCTTGGGCCGCAGGGTCCAACCCCGGAGCCACACGTGTAAGAACCAGCCCCTCCCGGCCCAGGCGTCCCAATTAATCCACAACCACACGTCCAACCAAAATCTCTGCGCCTCCATCACTAGGTCTTTTAGAGCTCTAACATCCAACGCGGTAGCCACTAGCTGCATGTGGCTATTGAAATTTAAATGCATTAGAACTAAATAAAATTAAAAACTTCAGTTCCTCAGTTGCACTGGCCATGTTTCACTTGTTCAACAGCCACATTTTCCTCATTACAGAAAGTTCTGTTGCACAGCGTTGCTACAGGAAAGTCACTGAGCAAAACAACAGTATCTACCTCACAGTTACAGGTCCCTGCGAAATGGCTTCTGGCCAGCCTGAATGGTTACTTCCTCTAAAGCCCACGAGACAGGGGCTGTTCTCCTATTTAGTACCTATTGAATAACTCTACGTTTTCTTCGAGGTGGTTTGGACGTATCTTTCTCCCTGCTTGCTCGCTCATCTGTGCCTCTCCCAGAAATGTGATTTGACTCGAATTGAAGAGGGGAAGCCTGGAGAGGACCAGGCATAAGCAGACAACTTAGTTCCAGCTCTGGGCGGGGCCCCCTGAAGCAGCAGAGCCGGTGACGGAGCCAGTGGAGTGTCAGGGGTCGCGGTCACGGTACCAGGTATTTCCTTGGAATCACCCAGCCCTACTGGGCAGGTGACGACGAGCGAAAAAGGAAGTTAGAAAATTACCCTGACCTGCTTTTGCTCGTCCCCTCTTCGCCCTCCTCCCTGCCTGTTCCGGCCACTCACCTCCACGTGCCCCCACCCCACACACCTCTTCTGCCGGGCACTAGCAGGGCACTGAGCGACATGGCATACGACCAGGTCTACATCAGGAATCAGTGTCAAAGGCCATTCTTGGCTGCCTTACACAAGGTGGACATTGTGATTACATTTAAGTGCTGTCTAAACAAAGAGAGGCCAGGTGGCTTCCATTCCCACCCATCCTCACTTATTTCTGGGTCTTTGTTAGGGAAGCAGCCAAAGATGAGTCCTCTGGAATGAACTTGGCTTCAGAGGCTGCATTTGCTGGGCCACAGTGATTGCAAGTCCCCGGGTTCCTTTTATCCTTAGGATCTGGGGCAGCAGGGCTCCTCAGCCCTCCCCACTCAATCCCAGCCATTTCTCCCTGCCCTTGTGCTTCCCAGGCCTCTGGGCTGGTTTCTCTAGTGTCCCCTTCCCAGAGATGGTGAGGAGGGAAGATTTTCCACACGGCCACCAGACCTTGCTCCCCAGTCCCACACAGCAGGCCTGGGGAAGTAACTTACGTTTCCTCTGAGGCTTGAGATCTCTATTCACGGGGGGAGGCTCCAGGTCCACCGGGAGCTTGGGCAATGGGCTGGAGATGTTTCCTGAGCTCATTGGGATGTAGTCGTCAGGGCTGCAGTGGGGTCCGAGAGCAGAGGCGGCGGGCTGGGGGCTCATGGGCACGTAGCTGTCCTCAGTGCTGGCGGAAGCTGGAGGGGACATCGGGAAGAACCTGCACGGCTGCAAGGGAAAGCACAGAATAGCCATGGAAACTGCTTCCAGTGGGCAGCCTTGGCTGCACATGGCATTTCAGTTGCAGATTTTCCAAGAATAACTTTGAACTTTCTTAGGAAGGTCAGACAAGCCTCTAACTCAAGCTCTGCCTCTGGACTTATCGTGTGAGGTAGGTGATGACTCGCCTAGATCTCATGCTGGAAGACAGAGGTTAACGAATTTATGCAAATGCTTTAAGTATCATGTGATGACTTCAGCAGGTACCCCAAGTTTGGGGAAGCGTCTGGACCATTAGAACTGGCAGAGTCCTCAGAGCACACAAAGTCCAATAGCTCCCAGACAAGTTTAAGCCTTAATGGGAGACTGGAGGGGTCCTCAGAGATTCACAGTGCTGTCTCAAAAGACATCATGGCAACATAAATAGGTCAGGCTATTGTTTTGGTAAAAATTGAGGCTTAAAGAAACTCAAGTACCAAACTTACCAAATTTAAACTTAGCCGCTTATCTCGGTGTCTTAAAGATTGGCCTTCTACATCACCTGCAAGAAACAAGCAGGGTGGTGAAAAATGTGGACAACATCAATTGAAACTAGGCTCCAAGTACCTATGCACCTCAGGGCCCTGTGTGCAGCTCCACAGAGGGAGAGAGACTTGCTATTGAGTCTAGCTGGGCAGTCAGAACACCTTCCCCCCACAGATGGAAAGCGGACCAGATTTTGAAGAGGTTGCTGTATGATGGCTTCAGTTCTCTCTGTGAACTGGGGAGAGTCAGAGCAAGTAATTAACAAATGCTCGTTGCATTTGTCACATGAATTTTCTGCACTTAGAGATGGTAGAGACAGAGCTGGAGGTCTGAGGAGAGGGCAGCAGGTGTGAAATAGCCCTTGTGATGAGCAGCAGCGTGCATCGGTGACCATGAATTTCTGAAGCAAGAGTCAGCGCCTCAGGTACAGATCCGGAGAGAGAGGAGAGCTGGATGAATCCAGGCTCAGACATTTGTGAGATGGATGTGACATAAACAGTGTGACGTAAAGATTTAGAGTAACTGTTGAACTGAAATAGGAGATGTCCAGAAGGTAGCAAGATATATGGGCCTAGATGCAAATGAGACTTGCTTAGAGATGGCGGTCAGTACCTAAGAGTAGAGGACATGATCTAGGTTGTAAATGTCGAGAAAAGTTAAAATATAAAATCCTAGAGACTCTCTCAATATTCAAAGCGTAGGAAGATGAGCACTGGCTCATGCTGAGAGAGAGCAAGTGGAGGAGGAAAGGCAGGGGCCCTGGACTGCGAGAGCCCACGGGCAGAGACGGCGGCCGGTGGCGGGGAACACCGCCAAAAAGGGCCCTCAGCATGTGGGCACTGGAGCAAAGTGTCTTCCTAGAACTTGGACATATGGAAAGCCAGGCTGCCTCTGAGAAATAAACTGAAGAGTCAACATCATCTTAAAGCAAGAGAATAACTCCCAGCTCAGAATGATGTGATGGAGATTGATGGACTTAAGACCAGACACTGTCAAACTCTTAGAGGAAAACATAGGCAGAACATTCTATGACATAAATCACAGCAAGATCCTTTTTGACCCACCTCCTAGAGAAATGGAAATAAACACAAAAATAAACAAATGGGACCTAATGAAGCTTCAAAGCTTTTGCACAGCAAAGGAAACCATAAACAAGACCAAAAGACAACCCTCAGAATGGGAGAAAATATTTGCAAATGAAGCAACTGACAAAGGATTAATCTCCAAAATTGACAAGCAGCTCATGCAGCTCAATATCGAAAAAAAAAAAACAATCAAAAAAATGGGTGGAAGACCTAAATAGACATTTCTCCAAATAAGACATACAGATGGCCAACAAACATGAAAAGATGCTCAACATCACTAATTATTAGAAAAATGCAAATCAAAACTACAATGAGGTATCACCTCACACCAGTCAGAATGGCCATCATCAAAAAGTCTACAAATAACAAATGCTGGCGGGGGTGTGGAGAAAAGGGAACCCTTATGCACAGTTCGTGGGAGTGTAAATTGATACAGCCACTATGGAAAACAGTATGAATGTTACTTACAAAACTAAAAATAGAGCTGCCATGTGACCCAGCAATCCAACACCTGGGGTATACCCAGAGAAAAACAACTCAAAAAGATACATACACGCCAATGTTCATTGCAGCACTATTTACAATAGCCAGGGCATGGAAGCAAACTAAATGCCCATCAACAGAGGAATGGATAAAGATGTGGTACATATATACAATGGAATATTACTCAGCCATAAAAAAGAATGAAACTGGGTCATTTGTAGAGACATGGATGGACCTAGACAGTGTCATACACAGAGTGAAGTAAGTCAGAAAGAGAAAAACAAATATCACATATTAACCCATATATGTGGAAACTAGAAAAATGGTATAGATTATCCTATTTGCAAAGCAGAAATACAGACACACATGTAGAGAAGAAACGTATAGACACCAAGGCGGAAGGGGGGTGTGGGATGAAGTGGGAGATTGGGATTGACATATATATACTATTGATGTTATGTGTAAAATAGATAACTAATGAGAACCTACTGTATAGCACAGGGTAACCTACTCAATGCACTGTGGTGACGTGAACGGGAGGGGAGTCCAAAAGGGAGGGGGCATATGTATATGTATATGGCTGATTCATTTTGTTGTACAGTAGAAACTAACACAACATTGTAAAGAACTATTCTCCAATAAAAATTAATTTTACAAAATATTGAAATCATAATCCAAGAAACGGTCCACAAATAAAGTAACACTTGAATCTAATATTGAAAGGGCCCATCAAGTACCTGGAATAAATAAATGGTCAATTCTACCCAGAATGTAAAATCTATTAAAACATTATATCAATAAAAATGACAGAATGAGACAGATGAATTAAATAACCAGTTCAAAGCTAAAAAGGAACAACAGAGAAAATGAAAAGAAATTATAAAATAAAGATAAAAGGAAAAAATAATAGAGTACAGAGAAATAGTGGAATTAATTTCTTTTTCTTTTTTTTTTTTTTGCGGTACGTGGGCCTCTCACTGTTGTGGCCTCTCCCGTTGCGGAGCACAGGCTCCGGACGCGCAGGCCCAGCGGCCATGGCTCACGGGCCCAGCCGCTCCGCGGCATGTGGGATCTTGCCGGACCAGGGTGTGAACCCATGTCCCCTGCATCGGCAGGCGGACTCTCAACCACTGCGCCACCAGGGAAGCCCTGGAATTAATTTTAAAAAATCAAAATCTTGGTTTCATGGGGAAAAAATATAACCTAAAGGCAACCGACTAGCCAATCAAATCAATAAAAGAGGGGGGCACAAATATGCAAAATAAGAATTGACAAGGAGGGCTTCCCTGGTGGCGCAGTGGTTGAGAGTCCGGGAGGATCCCGCGTGCCGTGGAGCGGCTGTGCCCGTGAGCCGTGGCCGCTGAGCCTGCGCGTCCGGAGCCTGCACTCCGTGACGGGAGAGGCCACAACAGTGAGAGGCCCGCGTACCGCCAAAAAAAAAAAAAAAAGAATTGACAAGGAAAAAATTATCATTGAAACAGAGGAAATTTTTTAAAAAAGAGACAATTCTGCATGCCTTTACCCAAATAAATTTTAAAATCTAGATGAAATGGATAATTTTCAAAAAAATACACTACAGCAAAATTGACACAAAAAATTTCCAAAGAATAAAATAGACAAAGTTACGAAGATCAGATGGTTTCAACAGACAATTTTACCAAAACTTCAAAGACCAGACAGTCCCAATGCTTCACAAATTTGGTCAAGAGTTTAGAAAATCAAGGAATATTTCTAATTCTTTTTATGAAGCAAGTATAACTTTGGTAGCTAAACCTGATAAACATAAAATATATCAGAAAGTACAGACTAATATCACTTATGATTAACAATGCAAAAATCCTAAATAAAATATTAGCAAACGTCACACCCTCTTTGAACCATTACTGTAAAACTCCTCACTACCCTCTCCAGGTTGGGACACACAGTTTTGAGGGCATTCGCCTGCTGCGGCCCCCTTTGCCTGGCAAAGCAATAAAGCTATTCTTTTCTACTTACCCCCGCAAAAATATTAGCAAACAGAGGAAGGTGGTATTACTGGAATGGCTGAATGAGGAGCTCAGAAAAGCCATTCTCCAAAAAACAATGATACAAGTGTACAAAACTATTTTTAAAAAGTCAAGCACAACTACTTGGGGACTCTAAAAATTTACCAAAAGCATACAACAAAATTGTTGTATATTATATTGGGAAGGATTTATTGGGAAAAAAAAAAAAACAACTACTGGACATCTGGTAAGAACACTGAGAATCTGTGTCATTTTAGCTTGGGGTGCTCCCGTACCCCTCACCAGCTCACTCAGACGTAGTTCTACCAGGGCAAGGCAAGTCGTGAAGACCAGTAGCTTCTTTTTGCCAAAGGGGTCTAATTTGATTTGGATCAGAGCATATAAAAAACTCCAATTCCTCTAGGTACTATCAAAAGCATACCAACAATTCATTTCATTGGGGTTCCAGGAGAAAAGAGAGAGAAAAGCATTGAAAATGTATTTGCAGAACATACAGCTGAAAACTTCCCAAACCTAAAGAAGGAAACAGATATCCAGGTACAGGAAGCACAGAGGGTTCCAAACAAAATGAACCCAAACAGACTCACACCAAGACATATCATAATTGAAATGGCAAAAGTTAAAGATAAAGAGAGAATTCTAAAAGCAGCAAGAGAAAAATAGTCATTTACAAGGAAATCCCCATAAGGCTATCAGCTGATTTCTCTGCAGAAACTTTGCAGGCCAGAAGAGAGTGGAGGGATAGATTCAAAGTCCTAAAAGGGAGAAACCTGCAACCTAGGATAATCTACCCAGCAAGATCATCGTTTAGAATCGAAGGAGAGACAAAGAGCTTCTCAGACAAGCAAAAACTAAAAGAGTTCATCAATACTAAACCTACCCTAAAAGAAATGTTAAAAGGTCTTCTCTAAGCAGAAAAGGAGGAAAAATCTATAGGAAAAGGAAAATCCCACTAGGAAAGGCAAATATATAGTAATGACTGAGGATCAGTCATTACTTAACTTAAATGAGCCAGTACAAATATTACAATACAAAAAATTATGAAATCAACTATAACTACAATAAAGAGTTAAGCGATAGACATGAAGATGTAAAATATGACATCAAAAATGCAAAATGTGGGGGAAGGGAGTAAAAAATGTAGATCTTCTAGAATTTGTTTGAACTTAAATGACTATCAGTTTAAAACAAGTAGATAGGGCTTCCCTGGTGGCACAGTGGTTGAGAGTCTGCCTGCTGATGCAGGGGACATGGGTTCGTGCCCCGGTCCGGGAAGATCCCACATGCCGCGGAGCGGCTGGGCCCGTGAGCCATGGCCGCTGAGCCTGTGCGTCTGGAGCCTGTGCTCCGCAACGGGAGAGGCCACAACAGGGAGAGACTCGTGTACCACCAAAAAAAAAAAAAAAAAACAAACAAACAAGTAGATACAGTTATAGATCAAC